TTTTTAGAAAATAACATAGAAATTCCTTTCAGACATGTCATTCTTAGAGAGCCAAAGAATAATTGGAACTTGTGCATGCAGATTTTTATGGGCCGCAGACTATCTCATATAGTGAAAATAAATATTTTTTATTATTTATAGATGATTACACAAGAATGATGTGGGTATATTTTTTCAAAGAAAAGTTAAAGCCTTATTTATTTTTAAAAGTTTCAAAGTATATATTAAAAAACAAAGTGGTTATTTTATTAAAACTATGTATTGATAGAGGGGGTGAATTCACTTTCAAGGATTTTTTTGTGTTTTGCAAGAATGTAGTCATTCACAAAGAATTGATTACAAGCTATACCCTCTAGTAAAATAGAGTAACAGTACGAAAGAACCGAGTTGTGATCGAGACTACTAGGTGTATACTTTAAAAAAATAATATCAAAAGACTTTGGGATAGAAGTTGTAAGTACAATAATATATTTGCTAAACCGTCTTCCTGTGGATATTAAGCATGGTTGAATAGAAAGCTAAATATAAGTCACTTAAAGGTACTATGTTATATTACTTACTTTCATATTTCTATAGAAAAAAGAAGCAAATTTGATGACAAAAAGTGTTAAATATATATTTGTGAGGCATAGTAACGAGACAAAAGGTTCTAGATTTTATAATCCTACAACTAAGAAATTGATTATAAGTCATGATATTATTTTTAATGAAGAAGAAGTTTAAAACTTTAAAGCAATTAAAATTTCAATAGTTATAGGAGAAGAAATCTATAAGGCACATGATACATTGCCTATTGTTAATACAATACTCGAATCTTCTCATATTTTAAATAATTCTAATTCAAATGATTCAAATGATTCTAGTGATCCTTAAATATATATAAGAACATTTCATAGCCTTCTATAAATCTATCACTCTAGTGATTTTGCATGTTTTACTTTGGAACCTACTTGTTTTGAATTTGCAACTTAGAAAGAAGAATAGGTACAAGAAAATGATGAGCTACAAACTATTGGAAAAAAATGACTTGAAAGTTGATAAATTTGGCCCTAGGAAGAGAAGCAATTAAACTCAAGTGGGTGTACAATACTGATCGTTTGCTTAAAAAACATAAAGCTCGCTTAGTTACCAAAGAGTATGCTCAAATTTTACGTATTGAGTTTTTAGAAACTTTTTTCTCAACTACTAGAATTGATATAAGTAGAAGAGCATTGGCATTAGAAGCATAAAAAAAATGATAACTTTATCAATTTCATATTAAATCAACCTTTTTGAATGGAAAGTAAAAAAAAAAGGTTTATGTAAAGCAGTTTGAAGAATTTAAAATTAAAGGGCTAGAAGATAAAGCATTATATAGTTTGAAATCAGTACCATGTCAGAATTGATAAATACTTTCTTCAACATAATTTTTGAAAAAACTTAAATGAATCAACTTTATATATAAAAGTCTAAGATATAAAAAATTTTATTATCTATTTATATACTATTAGTGTACTGAAAATTTATCAATCATAATAAGATCGATTTGAGATTGGTCTCTTTCAACACTCTCTTTCAAACCACTCTAATCCATCAGAATTAATATATTTATCACCTTTGGTAGTGTTTTGTTGACTGAAAATGACACATGAACAACTTCACACATAAATTTTCAAATATTTCTTCTTTCTTGTGGAATATAGAGCCTTGTAACCCAAAATCGAATCTAAAATCCAAAATACCAGATGTGGATCCTTATCTTAGATTCACAAATTGATTAGATCACTAGTGATAGATCCAATATTCTTGCCGTGGACACAAATTGATCGAGTTTATAGCATGAACACTAGGAAATCACAAGGTGACTTGATGTGGACTTTGGACACTCTGAGGTTTCAATCCATGCCTATAGGTCTGATTTTTCTCAATTCTAATTTGGACAGAAAAAAAAACTAGGGATAATTATAGATTATCCATTATAGTTAACTATAATTAAGATATCATTTCCTATGCTTTAAAAAATAATATTGAAATATTTACACTTATGAAAGTAAAATATTTAACCCCAATTCTTCTCGTGTCATTAACTTTATTGATTGAAAAAATCACACGTATTGTCACATATAAAAAGGACATGAATGGAAAGAATAATAAAGTAATTTTACTATCTTTTAAATTATTAATTTTTCATTCGCAACGTGAAGCTTTCATAGAAACCACTTTCCTCCCCCTTCGGTTCCCACTCCTCTGGCTTTACTAACAAACCAGCGATGACATTAGTAGCACACAAGGTCAATTCTCTAGTAGAAGGTGACTCCACGATATCATGAACTACGAGACCTCGGTCCTCTTCTACTCTTCTTCACTTGCTACTAATATCATTGCTGCAGTTGTAGGTTGGCCTCCAGCTCCACCAAACCACTCGTCATTCCCTTCTAGAAGCCAACAGTAGCAAAGCTCAAAGGCGAGGAGGTGGACGAGTCCACAGCTATGTGAGGCTGCATTGCAGCAACCTCCATGGCTAGAGGCAACAGCTATCGTGTGGTGATATCCAACTCCAGCAAGAGGCATCCCTCCTCCTCAACCTCATCCTTATCAACTACTGGCTAGGTCGGATGACCGAGGACATCGGAATATAAGATGGAGGTAGCATTTTTGGAGGAGCAGACATCCTCGTCCCCGGTGGCAATGGTGGTAATGTCGTTGCTCAATGATTCAAAGGAGTACGGCGCCATAGCAAGGGAGTCGCCACCATTGGTTTTCCAGTTTCCCATTCACCTTTTCGCCTTCTTTGTCGGGGAGGACATCACGTGCCAACGACCGCACAACATCCGTTGTGCGAGCGCACTTTGCAAGTGACAAAACCTTCCTCTGACCATGTTCTTCCTCACAGTCGTTGGTCACCCTCCCCCAACCTCCCCTAATCCAATCTGCGCCTCCATCCATCTTGATGCCCTACACTGGTAGTGCAATCACTAGGTCGACACCGACATGCTAGTCCTCAACACTGGCCACTGGTAGAATGATAAAAAGATAATCGCCATGTAACTATGGTTTTGCTTATACAAATAAGGCGACGAGTGAGCAAGTGTGACGAGAAAAAAGGATCAACAGAGGGGCAACAGGTGAGCAAGTTGGAAAGAGGAGGGGAGGAGAAAATAAGTCACAGTTAGAGGCGACACTCAAATCTCCTATAGAATACCATCGGCCTCGTGCGCCACCGATGTCGTTGCTAGTCTATCGTTGGTAGCACAACCAGAGAAGAGGAACTGGATGGGAGGAAAGTGGTTTCTATGAAAGCCTCCACATTGCAGAGTGATAAGTTTATATAAAATTAATAGTTTTAAAAATAATAAAATTATTTTTTATCCTTTTTATTGGTGCTATTTTTGTAATTGATAAAATATAAATTTTTTTTGGATAAAGTTAATGATGTGAGAAGAATTAGAGTTAAACAATTCACTTTCGTAAGTGTAGGGATCCAATACTATTTTTTTAAGTCTAGAGACCATGATACTAATCATAGTTAACTAAGAAGGTAATATTTAATTTAAAAAAACTATTTACAAGCTAGTTTGTATGTGCCGGTCTTTTTGTTACATTTTGTAGCGGAGAATAGTGTGTATCACTTTTAAGATTACATGAGCTTCTTTTAGTCCTATCTTGTTTATTGGAGATTAGAGTCAACATTATCAATGTCATTGTAGCTATTTAAAAATACAATATATCTTAGTAATGTAAGATTATTTTTTAACATATTTTTAATTTTTAATAATTATTTTATTTTGACACAATCACATGGAAGATGATTCTAATTTTAAAGGGTCGTTTTAAAGTCGCTCATTCCATCATTATTTTTTATCTCAATCGACAATTCATTATATTCAAATTAAGTTTATGATATTTATTTTATTATTCAAAGCTAACAAGGATCAAGATAAAAAAGATTACTTTATCAATAATAAAAAATCTATATTGGTAGGATGTTTTAACCTTATTATTATTGTGTAATAGAGTCCTTTTAATTTTAGCTTACTTGTTTTTCCCCAAAAAAGATTTCTAACAATCTTGCCCTCGTAGCTAATAGCAACAACTTTTGACTTGGTTTTGGAAAACGTGTGACATTTAATTCATCTCATCCATATTATTATCTCAACAAGCTTTCAAGCCTCAATATAAGATGGCAGTCAATGAATACATCATATACACACATTGAAAGTTTCCAAGTAGCTCCGAGACAACACATGGCTGAGCCAACTTCCGGCATACGACACAGTCTGTCACCCGCGTTTTGTTTGGCAGCCCCAAATCGTTGACTATTTTTGGTGAAGACTTAACGATCACTCTCTCCTCTTCCATGAATCCTTCTTCCCTCACCAACTCTATATAACCTCTGCAAGCTTCCCATCATTACCACGCAATAAGCACATTCTTCTTCTTCTTCTTCTTCTTCTTCTTCTTCTTCTA